TGGTAGCGGGGTTCAAATGATATACGTCTTCGGAGGCTTCTTTATTGTTAAGTCGTGGTGAGTACACAGGCTTGTGTGTTGTGCCCATGGCCCGGGCAGAGCCATCCCACGAGAGAAAGCTACTAGGCCTACTGTCTGCCCTTGCCACGCTCTGACTCTGGCGTCACTCCTCAAGCAGTCAAGACAGTAGGCCTAGTAGCTCTCTCTCGTGGGATGGCCCTGCCCGGGCCATGGGCACAACACACAAGCCTGTGTACCCACCACGACTTAACAATAAAGAAGCCTCCGAAGAAAATTTACCAGGCCCGGTGGCCTGGTGGCTAAAGCTCCCACTTCACACACGGAGGGCCCGGGTTCGATTCCCGGCGGGTGGAAACATTTCGACACGTTTCCTTACACCTGTTGTCCTGTTCACCTAGCAGCAAATAGGTACCTGGGTGTTAGTCGACTGGTGTGGGTCGCATCCTGGGGGACAAGATTAAGGACCCCAATGGAAATAAGTTAGACAGTCCTCGATGACGCACTGACTTTCTTGGGTTATCCTGGGTGGCTAACCCTCCGGGGTTAAAAATCCGAACGAAATCTTATCTTATCTTATCTTAACCTTATTATAACAAGTGCAATTTAATCTAGCCTAATCCAACTAAATATATTTTAGATAAGCTTACAATAATTTAATAATAAACAAACACAATGAAATTATTTTTTTTTTTGTTAGGTTCAGAATGACTTTTGCGAAATTACTGCATACACAAATTTTTGCTTGCCTTATTCGGCAAGAGCGTTGCTATTTAAGCCAAAATCGCAAGTTTTATCTATTCGGTATGACATATATATGCTATATATGTCTAATTTACACATTTGTTAGTACTGTAATGCCTAGTGTGATACATGCTAGAACTGATTTGTAGATACACACACACTTATGTAGAGTTTAGGATAATTGTTGCAAGGCAACATTTCTCCACGAGTGGCTTCGTCAGTCCTAATGATTTGTTGCTGTACTAGGATTCAAGTCCATCGACCATACGAGGGTCATAAAGTCCCCTGTCACCAGTATAATACTAGGGAATGAAGTAAACTCAGAATATATACAGAGATAAACCACCTTTCTCTGGGTACAACGTAGCTAGAACTGGTAAATTTAGCTACAATAATGTCCTTATGTAAGAAGTAATTATACCCTGAGCTGCCCAATAGGTCAAGCAGAACACACGCAGGTGTTCAACACACCTTCAGAGAATCTAGAGTCGTTCTGGCGCTCGGACTGCGGCCTGAGTGCCAGGAATGGCTCAGTTGGAGTTGAAAGAGTCACCGTGCCCTTGTCATAGGTTTCCCCCCGCCATAGGGCAGTAAACAGTACTCTACGCGAAGACGGTGCCCCGTGGCCTGGTGGCTACAGTTCTTTGGGTTCGATTCCCAGCGAGGGTAGAAACATTGGGCGTGTTTCTTTACACCGGTTGTCTGTTTACCCATCAGTACCGGGGTGTTAGTGGATTGGTGTGGGTCGCATCCTGGGACAAAACTGACCTAATTTGCGGGAAATGCTCAGCAAAACAAGGGACTTTCTATATAGTAGTACGTATGTCACTGATGTCAGCTATGGTCTGTATACCTTGTACATGTACTTGTAGTAAATAAAGATATTATTATTCAGACGGCTCACCGCGCCCTTGGCACAGGGCTGCAATCCCCCATCCCCCCGGCCATAGGGCTGCATACGCTACATCACTTGTACCAACTCTGACACTCCTTCGGGAGCCACTGCCAAATCACTACATGGAGAAGACCCGGGTCAGGACCCGTCCTGGCAAATATACATGAATATGCCCATTAGGAACCAATTTACGTCGCCTCTGCAGTCGACCGAAGAAGCCTGTAGGGCAGGCGAAACGTTTCGGCAATAAAGATCTCAGATACTGCGCATGACTTGTTTATGAATTTATACGGTATACCATTAACATAAGGAATCAGGAAATAACAAAAAAAGGCACAATACCGTGACTGGAACGATACACAAATAACCGGCACATAGAAGAGAGGAGCTTACGACGTTTCGGTCCGAGTTGGACCGAAACGTCGTCGTAAGCTCCTCTCTTCTATGTGCCGGTTATTTGTGAATCAGGAAATAATAGTACGCAAAGAACCTCATCCTCACTGCCTAACACCACCAAACAATAGTCCACACAATCAACTGCTCGCACCACAGGTTAGGTAAGGTAAGTTAAGGTTTGTCGGGAAACATGACAAGTGTTCCCTGACGCAGATCTTAGTCATATGATGACTCGGTAAGTTAAGGTTTGTCGGGAAACATGACAAGTGTTCCCTGACGCAGATCTTAGTCATATGATGACTCGGTAAGTTAAGGTTTGTCGGGAAACATGACAAGTGTTCCCTGACGCAGATCTTAGTCATATGATGATTTCGGGTAAGTTAAGGTTTGTCGGGAAACAGGACAAGTGTTCCCTGACGCAGATCTTAGTCATATGATGACTCGGTAAGTTAAGGTTTGTCGGGAAACAGGACAAGTGTTCCCTGACGCAGATCTTAGTCATATGATGACTCGGTAAGTTAAGGTTTGTTGGAACAGGACAAGTGTTCCTGACGCAGATCTTAGTCATATGATGACTCGGTAAGTTAAGGTTTGTCGGGAAACATGACAAGTGTTCCCTGACGCAGATCTTAGTCATATGATGACTCGCAGCTGAAGCTTTTGGTCATCTGGCTGAGGCCTTTCACTAGCTTACCCTTCCATCTGCTTTAAAAATTATGGTTATGATTATAACCATGCGATACATGTTAATAGGTATTCATAACACAGATTTCCTATATACAGAAGAACCACTGTGAAACAGTAGTGAACTTCCAAGCGCTTTCGTGATTTCTCACATTGCCAAGGAACTAGATGTAACTACCGGCTAAGTTAGACTACAGTAACTGATTACCATCAAATATATAATGTAATAATAATATTTCAAGGAGTTGTGAAGTAACATTAGTAAATAAATGCTAAACCGTAACCCTGACCTTGAGCATATAAGGCGCAGGCTGGTTTTCCAAGACTTTTTGCGAGAGAAAAATTACGTCTTATGAACCGGAAAATACGGTAATAATAATATTTACTAATTTATTATAAACAAACATTTCAAAAAGGTATATTAAATGTTGTTTACGATTTATTAATGTACTTATGAGAAATATTACTTGTAGGATTATTAATATTATGCAAGAATCGCGAGCAAGCCCGGTGGCCCGGTGGTCTGGTGGCTAAAGCTCCCGCTTCACACACGGAGGGCCCGGGTTCGATTCCCGGCGGGTGGAAACATTCTGACACGTTTCCTTACACCTGTTGTCCTGTTCACCTAGCAGCAAATAGGTACCTGGGTGTTAGTCGACTGGTGTGGGTCGCATCCTGGGGGGCAAGATTAAGGACCCCAATGGAAATAAGTTAGACAGTCCTCGATGACGCACTGACTTTCTTGGGTTATCCTGGGTGGCTAACCCTCCGGGGTTAAAAATCCGAACGAAATCTCTTATCTATCTTAAGCAACACAAGATACAAAACAACCACAGGAGAACTGAATTACACCTCTAGACTTTTCCTGTTGCAATCAGTATATCAGGAGCTTGCAATATTGCAGAAATGATTAAGAGATCTCTTACTCATTTAAGAACATAAGACATCAAGACAGGAGGAGCACTGCAGTAGGCCTGTTGGCCCATATTAGGCAACATTGCAAGCTCCTGATGATGTGTTTGCAACACGAAAGGCCTAAAGCTATTATTCAATTCCGTCTGTGGTTGTTTTGCAAATTATTATATTCAGATCAAAGCGTAAGTTCGTTTAGACACAGGTACACATGAGCACAATTATCATACATAGTGTAAATTACCGAGGATAAGTCACTGTCTGACTGGGTTATCCCGGGTTCCTTACATATATGCTGCTATGTATGATAATCTATGTAACTGTATTTGTGTATACCTGAATAAACTTACTAAAGTGACGTATTTCCATTGGGGAAGAATTAAGTTCAATCCAGGGAAGGAGAGGACAGGTCCCAATCTTTGGATCAAGAACCCCCCTGACCGGCATCAAGGCACCTTCCTCGAGGGTCAGGGGTGCATGATGAAGCTAAAACATTCACTAGGAAGTAACTCTTGGCCCCCACACCTTTAACGGGGTGCAATGACCATGAAGCAGCTCTTGATTCAAGGAACTGGGACTAACCTTCCTTTCTCTGGGCCAAAACTATGGGTTTAGTGCTTCCCCATACATATAATAATAATAATCCTGGTCCCACTACCAGCACATCATGGGACCAGACAAGTGTCAGTGGCTGGCCAGAGGCCAAGACTCGACCCTAGTTGCTGCAGGTAAGAAACTACAAATATAACTCCATACAATCAATCATTAAATAACTATAATAACACGATGCTATTTGAACTAAGTTTATTTCTGACAAATTTACGTCATAATTTGTTCATATTTATAAAAAAAATTAAACGACGCACACAAAGAACTAAAGAAAAGCGAGTAAAAAATTAACAGAAATGAGCAACTGGCAATGACATCACACCAACCACGACTTGTGATTGGTGGGCTGTGGAGGCTAGTTCGTGACGTCACAGGTAAAAAGCTCTGACGTCATCCCTGCTGCAGCCTGTGATTGGTTGGCCGGGGAGGCTGGTTTGTGACGTCACAACCACACCACTGCGTATTCCGCTTAAAAATTTCACTAGGAAAACAATAACAAAAAGTCGATATAGGGAAAAAAAACGTCACTTGTATAACGGAAATTTAAAAATACAATAAAATAAAGAATAAGGTTTACTTATATAATAAATATATGAACTGACACCGGCATCGATTTTCGTACTAACCCAGCTGATTCCCCCCACAGGATTTTATTGCTTATATTACTGTTATTTAGCAGTTTATATAGTGTTGGATGTATTATGTATGATGAATAATACTTATTATACATGTATACACTTACCCGGCTGACCTTCACGCCTCTCCACGTATAATTATTTGAAATCCTCGCAGCGAAATTTGTGCACATGATCACTGGTGCCATTGTGAAGGTGAACTGAAGTCCAGACCAGCGAGGAGTGAGGTGTATCCTCCTCCATCACTCCCTCCATCACTCCCTCCATACCTCCACCACGGCCTCCATACCTCCACCACAGCCTCCATACCTCCATCACTGGTGCCATTGCGAAGGTGAGCTGAAGTCCAGACCAGCGAGGTGTGAGGTATATCCTCCTCCATCACTCCTCCATCATCCCTCCATACTCACCACAGCCTCCTTTACCTCCAGCACTGTGCATTGTGAAGGTGAATTGAAGTCCAGACCACGGGTGTGAGGTATATCTCCTCCATCACTCCTCCATCACTCCTCCATACCTCACCACAGCCTCCAACCCTCAGCATGGTGCCATTGTAAGGTAAACTAAGTCCAGACCAGCGAGGTGTGAGGTATATCCTCCTCCATCACTCCCTCCATCACTCCCTCCATCACTCCCTCCATGCCTCCACCACAGCCTCCATACCTCAGCATGCTCATCACTGGTACCATTGTGAAGGTGAACTGAAGTCCAGACCAGCGAGGTGTGAGGTATATCCTCCTCCATCACTCCCTCCTCACTTAACCTCCACCACAGCCCATACCTCCAGCACTGCCTCCATCACTGGTGCCATTGTGAAGGTGAACTGAAGTCCAGACCAGCGAGGAGTGAGGTATATCCTCCTCCATCACTCCCTCCATCACTCCCTCCATCACTCCCTCCATACCTCCACCACGGACTCCATACGGTGGTCTGGGGCAAAGTCCCTCACCACGAGGGCCGGTCATTCCGGGGTGGAACATTTGACAGTTCTACACTGTGTCCTGTTCACCTAGCAGCAAATAGGTACCTGGGTGTTAGTCAAACTGATGTGGGTCGACCTGGGGGACAAGATTAAGGACCACAATGGAAATAAGTTAGACAGTCCTCGATGACGCACTGACTTTCTTGGGTTATCCTGGGTGGCTAACCCTCCGGGGTTAAAAATCCGAACGAAATCTTATCTTATCTTATCACTGGTGCCATTGTGAAGGTGAACTGAAGTCCAGACCAGCGAGGAGTGAGGTGTATCCTCCTCCATCACTACCTCCATTACTCCCTCCATACCTCCACCACAGCCTCCATACCTCCACCACAGCCTCCATACCTCCACCACAGCCTCCATACCTCCAGCACTGCCTCCATCACTGGTGCCATCGTGAAGGTGAACTGAAGTCCAGACCAGCGAGGAGTGAGGTATACCCTCCTCCATCACACCCTCCATCAGTCCCTCCATACCTCCACAACGGCCTCCACCACGGCCTCCATACCTCCAGCACTGCCTCCATCACTGGTTCCATTGTGAAGGTGAACTGAAGTCCAGACCAGCGAGGAGTGAGGTATATCCTCCATCACTCCCTCCATCACTCCCTCCATCACTCCCTCCATTCCTCCACCACGGCCTCCATACCTCCAGCACTACCTCCATCACTGGTGCCATTGTGAAGGTGAACTGAAGTCCAGACCAGGGAGGTGTGAGGTATATCCTCCTCCTTCACTCCCTCCATCACTCCCTCCATACCTCCACCACAGCCTCCATACCTCCAGCACTGGTGCCATTGTGAAGGTGAACTGAAGTCCAGACCAGCGAGGTGTGAGGTGCATCCTCCTCCATCACTCCCTCCATACCTCCCTCCATACCTCCACCACAGCCTCCATATCTCCATCACTGGTGCCATTGTGAAGGTGAACTGAAGTCCAGACCAGCGAGGAGTGAGGTATATCCTCCTCCATCACTCCCTCTATCACTCCCTCCATACCTCCACCACAGCCTCCATACCTCCAGCACAGCCTCCATGCCTCCACCACGGCCTCCATACCTCCAGCACTGCCTCCATCACTGGTGCCATTGTGAAGGTGAACTGAAATCCAGACCAGCGAGGTGTGAGGTGTATCCTCCTCCATCACTCCCTCCAATACTCCCTCCATACCTCCACCAAAGCCTCCATACCTCCACCACAGTCTCCATACCTCCACCACAGACTCCATACCTCCAGCACTGCCTCCATCACTGGTGCCATTGTGAAGGTGAACTGAAATCCAGACCAGCGAGGTGTGAGGTGTATCCTCGTCCATCACTCCCTCCATCACTCCCTCCATACCTCCACCACAGCCTCCATACCTCCACCACAGCCTCCATACCTCCAGCACTGGTGCCATTGTGAAGGTGAACTGAAGTCCAGACCAGCGAGGTGTGAGGTATATCCTCCTCCATCACTCCCTCCATACTCCCTCCATACCTCTACCACGGCCTCCATACCTCCACCACTGCCTCCATCACTGGTGCCATTGTGAAGGTGAACTGAAGTTCAGACCAGAGAGGAGTGAGGTATACCCTCCTCCATCACTCCCTCCATACCTCCACCACGGCCTCCACCACGGCCTAAATACCTCCAGCACTGCCTCCATCACTGGTGCCATTGTGAAGGTGAACTGAAGTCCAGACCAGCGAGAAGTGAGGTGTATCCTCCTCCATCACTCCCTCCATCACTCCCTCCATACCTCCACCACGGCCTCCATACCTCCAGCACTGCCTCCATCACTGGTGCCATTGTGAAGGTGAACTGAAGTCCAGACCAGCGAGGAGTGAGGTATATCCTCCTACATCACTCCCTCCATACCTCCACCACAGCCTCCATACCTTCACCACAGCCTCCACCACGGCCTCCATACCTCCAGCACTGCCTCCATCACTGGTGCCATCGTGAAGGTGAACTGAAGTCCTGACCAGCGAGGTGTGAGGTATATCCTCCTCGGGGCCCAGTCCCTGGACCCATTACGTACCTCTGTAATCTGTAAATACCTTTGTAACTTGTCATGATTGTGACCAGACTTACCTGGAGTTCATTACCTTTGTAAATTGTGATTTCATTACCTTTGTAAATTGTGAGTTCATTACCTTTGTAAATTGTGAGTTCATTACCTCTGTAACTTGCTCAGCTATCAAAACTTTGGAGTCCAGTCCCTGGACCAATTATGTACCTCTGTAATCTTTTGACTACCGCCCACAGGATGGGTATGGGGTGCATAATAAACATATTAAACTAACTCACTCCCTCCATACCTCCCTCCATACCTCCTCCACAGCCTCCATACCTCCAGCACTGCCTCCATCACTGGTGCCATTGTGATGGTGAACTGAAGCCCAGACCAGCGAGGTGTGAGGTGTATCCTCCTCCATCACTCCCTCCATACCTCCCTCCATACCTCCACAACAGCCTCCATACCTCCAGCACTGCCTCCATCACTGGTGCCATTGTGATGGTGAACTGAAATCCAGACCAGCGAGGTGTGAGGTGTATCCTCCATCACTGCCTCCGTACCTCCCTCAATACCTCCATCACTGCCTCCATCACTGGTGCCATTGTGAAGATGAACTGAAGCCCCGACCAGCGAGGAGTGAGGTGTATCCTCCACACTCCCTCCATACCTCCACCACAGCCTCCATACCTCCAGCATCGCCTCCATCACTGGTGCCATTGTGAAGATGAACTGAAGCCCCGACCAGCGAGGAGTGAGGTGTATCCTCCTCCATCCCTCCATACCTCCACCACAGCCTCCATACCTCCACCACAGCCTAAATACCTCCAGCACTGCCTCCATCACTGGTGCCATTGTGACGGTGATGTGAAGTCCAGACCAGTGAGGTGTGAGGTGCATCCTCCTCCATCACTCCCTCCATACCTCCCTCAATACCTCCACCACTGCCTCCATACCTCCACCACAGCCTCCATACCTCTAGCACTGCCTCCATCACTGGTACCATTGTGAAGGTGAACTGAAGTCCAGACCAGCGAGATGTGAGGTGTATCCTCCTCCATCACTCCCTCCATACCTTCCTCCATACCTCCACCACAGCCTCCATACCTCCAGCACTGCCTCCATCACTGGTGCCATTGTGAAGGTGAACTGAAGACCAGATCAGCGAGGTGTGAAGTGTATCCTACTCCATCACTGCCTCCACCACAGCCTCCATACCTCCAGCGCTGCCTCCATCACTGGTACCATTGTGAAGGTGAACTGAAGCCCAGACCAGTTTGTGTGAGGTGTATTCTCCTTCCACACTGCCTCCATACCTCCATTACTGCCTCTAGCACTGCCTCCATACCTCCAGCAGTGCCTCCATCACTGCTGCAATTGTGAAGATGAACTGAAGCCCAGACCAGCGAGGTGTGAAGTGTATCCTCCTCCATCACTGCCTCCAGCACTGCCTCCATACCTCCAGCACTGCCTCCATACCTCCAGCATTGCCTACATACCTCCAGCACTGCCTCCATACCTCCAGCAGTGCCTCCATCACTGGTACCATTGTGAAGGTGAACTGAAGCCCAGACCAGCGAGGTGTGAGGTGTATCTTCCTCCATCACTGCCTCCATACCTCCCTCCATACCTCCACCACTGCCTACATACCTCCAGCACTGCCTCCATCACTGATGCCATTATGAATGTAAACTGAAGCCCAGACCAACACGGTGTGAGGTGTATCCTTCTCCATCACTGCCTCCATCACTACCTCCATACCTTCAGCACTGCCTCTATACCTCCAGCACTGCCTCAATGCCTCAGTCACTGGTACCATTGTGAACGTAAACTGAAGTCCAGACCATCGAGGTGTGAGGTGTATCCTCTTCCATCACTGCCTCCAGCACTGCCTCCGTTCCTCCGTCAGTCTCCATCACTGGTACCATTGTCAAGTGAACTGAAGCCCAGACCAGCGATGTGTGAGGTGTATCCTCTTCCATCACTGCCTCCAGCACTGCCTCCGTTCCTCCGTCAGTCTCCATCACTGGTACCATTGTCAAGTGAACTGAAGCCCAGACCAGCGATGTGTGAGGTGTATCCTCTTCCATCACTGCCTCCATCACTTCCTCCGTACCTCCATCACTGCCTCCATCACTGGTACCATTGTGAAGGTGAATTGAAGCCCAGAACAGCGAGGTGTGAGGCGTATCCTCCACCATCACTCCCTCCATTCAAATATATTTATTTCTTTGCAAGTAGTGTAATAC